TACTGTAAGTTCTAGATGTTAATTTAATTTTAATTCCTGTACATCTGTAAAACAATAAAAGCAATATACATCACAAGACCTACATAAACAAATTAATAATATATGTATTATCTAATCGGACAAGAAAAAATGTTTAATTTGAGAATTTAAGACAATATGAAGCTTCAGAAGTAAAACACATGCGTTAATGAACATTTTCTTAATGTAGTATGTCAGTAAACCGATTTAGTAATCAACAGTAGTGTCGAAATTGTTAGAAGAACTGTACAATTATGATCAAAAGGTTTATGAATATAATTGACAAAACGCGATAAGTGTGTCTTCAGAATCTAACATTTGGAAATATTATTCTCCGTCGATGACAAATCAGACAAGTCTCCGAAAATGATAAAATATTTATTTGTGACATTTGCAGATAAAATCTCTCTAATTTTTCAGTTTTATTCTTTTCAATACTTTTTATCTCCTTGTTGAATATGTATTAAACCTTATGTGATGTATCTGTCTCGATAATTTTGGAGGAAAATATTAAAACTAATCTATCAGTGTTGTCCAATTGTTTAATTCCCTCCTTTTCTGTATTTTGTTTAGGAAGTGTTAATATAAAATAATATTATTCTATTGTCTTGTACTGTTGAAAAAGACTTGTCGCGCTACTTCCAAACTAAATTTTGCAAATGTAAATATCATTCAGTTCTTGTAACCCTAATTAAAACGAAATGCTATGTCTCTCTAAGCCATGCTTAACACTTAAAATAAATGTAGACGTATAAAAAGCATGGAATTTTTATTTCATATTGCAAATTATGAATTAGAAACTAGGTAAGCAATTAATAAAAGATCATGCTCATTCTTTTTAGATATTGTTTTTATTTTGTGGAACGAATTTTATGATATACCTACTGAAAGTTTGCTATAAGAAATATATTTAACTCTTTGCACTCGGAGGTTTCATCTGAAGGCATATTTCGAATTCAATATTGAAATTTTCGAATACCAAGGGGTAAGTTTACATTAATTTTATGTCATCCTATTTTTAGAAAAATTACAAACATCGATCGTAAAATCCTCGCAAATCACTTTGTGTAACTATAAGAAGTAGAGAGAATTATCTTATACCTTTGACAAACTTCCTATTATTATACTGTCTAATTTTCTTATAAATGGAGATAAACTAAGCTTTATACATAACTTCTAGCAATCAATTAATTGTTTTAATATGAGGTTTTCAATGTTAAACAGTTTGGAACACGCAAAATGTATTAACAATGGCAAAGGTAAACTTAATATTCATTAAAATTTAAAAGATATCAGTAGACATAGACTAGAATAATCCATGGTAATTCTAAAATTTTGCACTTAAGTTTGTATTAATAATCGAAAAATGATTAATGCGAGTAAATTATTATTACAAATTATCGATAAAAACCTGAAGTATCGACATAAATAGGGAAGCTGGAGATGGTGAAGCAAACTGAAAAGTGGTGGCGCCATCTACGGTGAAACGTTAAACCTTCTATCCAATTAGTATCAACCACCCTATAGGATCTACAAAATATAAGAATAGACCACCGACGAAATATCGGTAAAGAGACCAAACGCTTCAAAGGCTTTCACTGCAAAAGTCTTATCGACCTATAAATCTAAATTCTCTTTTTATGGAGAATGGTCAGTTCAAAAACTAAATAAATAAGAAGAATGTATAAATCGTGTTTATATAATTTCCATAATCAAAGACAATGCCACTATGAACAGTAGTAGTACAATTTTTACTTCCCAAAAATTCTTTTCTCAATTGAATAATAAATATTAACATAGGTACATATTCTAGACAATAGTTTATACTAAAATAAAATTTATTTAATATAAAAATTCTTGTAAACATGGATGTTTTAAACGTTACACAGTATCTTAATTTATATTCAATATCAATGTTCACGAAAAATCAATTTGGAAAAGCATTTGTCAGAATTATTCAATAGCCAGAAGAGAACAAATTTATCGGTAGAAAAATTTGTAATACGTCGGATCTATCGATCATTGTTTTCGTACAATTTTCCATACTTCGGGAGCAATAAAAAATACTGGTGAAAAATATCGAGCGGTGATGATTAATGGCAAACATTAGCAAACAATCATGAACAGTAGCAAGCAGTGAGCGATAAATAACAAACAGTGGCGAGCAATGAGCAGTAGGGAGTATCTACCAGATTTAAGAGGCGAAAACACACATAAAATGTTCAATTTACCGAAGGTCCTTAAATTCACAGTGGCTCCATATTTTTGCGTTTGAAATATACATCACTTTGAACCTTCCTGAATTTTTCTGAATCAGTGTTGATTATCAATGACGAAAGATTTTAAATATAGCTCTCTCTTCTCCATTTGGAACAGAAAAGATAAATACTCTATCAGGCAGAATAAAATTATGGAATCCTTGTCTGAACTTTTTTGCACCATAATCAATTTTATTTAACACTTAAATTTTTAATTCAGCACAATTACTGCAATATAAATTCGAATCTAGAGGAGTTTCCTCTTTCTGAACAGTAAAAACTACATAATCATTCTTTTAATAGAATTTGATAATAAATGATGCTAAGTTAGTAGGAAGAAAATTTTTCCAAATTCTTTTATTAGTTTCTTTTAAATTTTATTCATTTAAATTTGAATTTAGTTGTAACTTTTACTTTAATAATTTTGAGTAGAAACTGTTATATTATCATCGAAAAACAGTTTAAGCTTGTTTCATCTATTTTCATTTGATTATAACATAATTCCAATTTTAATTTTTAAATATGTCACAAGCATAAAAGGATATTTTTTTCATTTAAATTTAGACTTAAAACAGAAGAAGTCCGACGAGGAAATTTAGTGTTAAGACATTTTGATGCTAGTTGGTACTACAACCATTATACATTCGATATGAGAGGGAAGATAAATGAAACTTTGATTTCATCTATGTTCTTTGGGTCTTTAGTCGCAGTAACTTCCGTGTGGTAAGATCTGAGCTTAAACAGTGTTATCCTCGATAGAGTATTCTCTATAAAGGATCATGCTGAGTCTGATGGCTGCGAAAATGTTCAAGGAACTATTATATTCTTGGCCTTAACTCCGCTCATTTGAATATGCATATCCGCTCCTTGAGTAGATCCGATCCACCGATCAGACTCGCAACATTCCATTATAAACCAACGCGTGTATTAATTCCTTCTTTTTTTAAACATCCTCTACTTCTTTCTTTTGTGTAATTTAATTAGTTTTAAATGACTCATTTCAAAATTTTGTAAATAAATATAGAATATGCGGAGGTATTGTTATTCTAGTTTCATTTGGAGGCTACATATTGCAGTTAGAAATATCTTTCCTTTGATGAATACATTTGGCATTAGAGCTAGTACGATCAGGTCATTCTTTTGTTTTTGTTTAGAGATTTGTTCTCTAACTTTACTTTTTTTTAAATTAGAGAGTTCTTTGATTCCTTTCTTTTTTTCTTAGGTGAGACATTGATCTTATTCTTTATTCAACAATCGCGCTTCGTTTGTAGTTTAAGGTACGATCAACTACTTTAGTTGAACTTAGGCTGAAGAAAATACACATCTATGTATACTTACAAATGCATTTTAATTAACAAAGTACATATACTGATCTATTTTAACCTTTACACTTTGTATAAAACATTAAAAGATCACCATAATCTAAAAACAAGTATTTAGAAAAGATATTTTTATATTTTGGAAGGTAAAATTAGTAAACGTTCATGTTTTAAACTAAAATTTTATTCAGAGCATTGAAGACAATTACTAACTTATATGCTTATATGTTGAATCGCCATTGCATATAGCAATTTAAATTAAAAAATGCGTATTACAAAAACATTTCGTAATTTTATAATTCCTCGAATTTAATAGAACATTACTGGTGTATAATACATTGTAAAAGAAACATTTTAAGAAAAGGATACTGTAAAATATGCTTGACTTGAGCAGGAGTACGCATAAAAACATAGCGCTATACTTAACAATATCACATTTTAGATAAAGCCCAGCTGTTTCTATTAACGCAAAAATAATGTTATATTTACATTTTTAAGCAATAGTCTTTGTGTAATCAATTTTGCTGCTTTTATCATAGTATGAATTACAAATTACTAAAAGAATATAAATAAGAATAATAAATTAACATGTTAGTTAAAGAATGTTATTGTAAACACGGTGAGTTTTCTTGAAAAATAATTCCTAACATAACATAATGAGAATTAAGTGTTACAATCCATTTAACATGTATACTGTTAAATCTTGCAATTATTATCATACTTATTTTTCAACATTTCATTTCTTTTAATCTGTCATTTTAAGTAGTGTTTACAACTTTATTATTTACATACAAAGATATGTTGCACACATTTGTAATTATGTACTGCATTGAAATTATCTAATAACAATTTCCATGAGTAGTGTTGAATTTATAGCCGTTAGAGTATACAACAATTGCATATATATAAAGTGCCAATCCATTTGTTTAACACTTTATACAAAGTAAAGGGATTCTATAATTCTATAAATTAGTGCAATATGCTTTCTTCTTATTGTTTTCAAAATTTTTTATAATTATGCATTTATAATTATGCATTCATTTGATTTTAAGGTTTAAAATATTTAACTTGAACTTAGGAATAATTTCTAAATAAAACTGTAATTTTATCTAAAGATGCTGGTTCCCTAAGATTAAGTTTGTGTAATTCTTCGTCTGCTTTGTTGTTTTTCAACTCTCGTTGCGTATACAAAAACTTATTCCACTCATCAA